AAACCTGTCTTTCACCTCAACTGCTGCAACTCTCCAGATCATGGACAACAGGACACTGAGGTATCAACTGCCCAGAACAAAGTAGGTTGCTCTTCCTAAAAACTCCAAATCCACAGGATCTTCTGAAGTCTGTCAGGCCCCACACTGCTAGCTGTAAGATGAAATGTTGCCCTGAGGCCCCTGCCCTCAATGACCATGGAGTACCCTAGGGAATGACTGCCCAGGTAGCCAATCCAGACCTTGTCATTTTTAAATCTATTGAGTTAAAATTTTAAATTTTATTCTCCTCAGGATCTCTGATACAGTTTGACAGCTGGGAGGTTTGCCAGTTTAAAAGGAACAACTTCACAAAACAGATTTCAGCAGAACTTCTTACCATGTTTAAATAAAAAGTGTTTTAAGATACAAAGCTCAAGATGCGAGGATGTTTTAGGCTCTAAGAAGGTGTTCAGGGTATGCAAATGCAAGTTATTAAGGTCTGTACACGCATGTTATAAAGGTCTGAGGATACAAATGTTTAAGAGTACTAGAAAGTGACTTAAGGTATGCAAATGCAAGTTCTGAGGTCTGAGGATAAAAAGATTAAGTGATGACAAAGGCAAATGATTGGAGACATTTAAAGGAATAAAGCATGTTCCAGATTTCTGTTATATTAGGACTCTAAGGGTCCATAGTCTTAACATTAATCAACCAACCCCTTTCCTTCCTTCCCCCATCCTCCTCTCCTTTCAATAAAACTCTACACTTAAGTTCTGTCTGTATGATGTATTCTGTCACCCAGTGCAGTAGTCCCTCTTGTGCCACACCATAACATAAAAATAGTGGTGCACAGCTGGGATGTCAGCACTTGTTAGAGGCAGAAAAATCAGGAACTCATGGTCATCCTGGCTACACTGGGAGTCTGAGGCCAGTGTGGACCAAATGAGACCTTTCCTAAGGAATTAAGCTTAATGAATAAAAACAATTACTCCATGAAACAAACATGGCATGAAGGCTCATATCTATACTCTTAACACTTAGAAGGTTGAGCCAGGGGCTAGAATATAGGAGGTACTGAATTGAATTCTCAGCAAACACATAGTGGCTCACAACTATTTATAAAGGGATTTGATGCCCTCTTCTGGCATGCAGGAATACATGCAGATAGAGAACTCATACATAAAATAAAATTACATTAAAAACTACATTAATAAGTATTTTTTTTAAAAAAAAATAAGAAGATTGGGGCAGGAGGCTTGACTTTTGATGCCAGCCTGGGCTTCATGGTAACTTTCAGGACAGCCTGATTCACACAATATAATTAAGGACATTCCTAGCTACAGGGTGAAACCTTGCCTCAGAAACAGAAGAAAAATAAATAAATCCAGCAATGTTTAAATTTATGTGTAAGATAAAATGTAATAGGATATGGTATCCACTTTCACAAATTAGAAATGTACCATGAAACTAAAAGAAAAAAATTAAAATGTATTTCCTGAAAGTAAGAAAGATTTTGGCAATGATATTCCTCTAATTATTCTTATTAAATGATTTCTTAAGTTCCTGTGTACAAAGCTAAAATACCCTACTAGTTAGACTGAAAATCTGAAGGAGAAATATTCCAATTTTGTAGACATTCTGTTAGGGGGGTTTGTAATCATTTGCCATACAATCATAAGATTTTGAGTTGCATCCTCATAATCCTGGAATAGATCCCATATGGAAGGACGTAGAGATGACTCACTGGGCAAGTGTACTTGTTGCTATGTCTAATCACCCAAGTTGGATCCCAGGGAAGCACACCATTAAAGGAGAGAAACAACTTCTGCAATATAGCATGTCACACAACTGCTGACTCCCTATACAAATTATAAATAATATAAAAATATTGAGCATAGTAGTATAATAATCCGTTTGTGAATGACTCCTGGTTAACATCAAAGGGTAAGCTCTATCCTCCACATATGTAGACACACATAACATATATACACCACCTACAGGCATAAACCTAACATAAACACATGTGCATGTGCGCACACAAACACATACATACATACACACACCATTAAATTATGTGAAAAGTAGAAAAAATCTATCAGAAAAATTTTTAGTATTAAATAACTACCTTAACTTGAATTTTTACCTTTGTACACAAGAACTCACAAAAACTCATAGAGATATCCCTGCCTCTGCCTCTGCCTCTGCCTCTGCCTCTGCCTCTGCCTCTGCCTCTGCCTCTGCCTCTGCCTCTGCCTCTGCCTCTGCCTCTGCCTCTGCCTCTGCCTCTGCCTCTGCCTCTGCCTCTGCCTCTGCCTCTGCCTCTGCCTCTGCCTCTGCCTCTGCCTCTGCCTCTGCCTCTGCCTCTGCCTCTGCCTCTGCCTCTGCCTCTGCCTCTGCCTCTGCCTCTGCCTCTGCCTCTGCCTCTGCCTCTGCCTCTGCCTCCCGAACCAGGCACGAGGCAAAGTCCCTCCACCTCAGCAGCAGCCTCTGCTGCCTTTTTTTTTTTCTCTTTCGGAGCCCCATATAAATTTCCAGATTCCCTCGTAGAACAGAGGGGTGGATGAAGGTCAAGGGACCCAGGGCCAGAAAGGGTGGAAGATTTTCTCTGGTGAAGAGCACAGGAGAGCCAGAGTGTAAGCCTCTCCCCCAGGAGTGGTCACCACAGGCAGGCGCCACTTTGAAGGCTCTGTGGTACCAAGACCCCCCTCTCCTCTCGCCTGCAAGATCCTTCCCGACTAGTGGGGACCCCGAGGAGGGAGAGGGGCCCAGCTGCTACATTCATAGAGACATGACTAGAAAGAGCCAGTTAGCCTCAAGGTTTGCCATCCTGCTGCCACGTCGAGTTCCATTCCACGGCATCTCAAAGAGGAGTGCACTCCATCCACGCCCGGGAATCATTCCTCAGACTGGCGCTCTCCACAGTTGGCTAATGGCGCCCTCCAATAACTGCCCTTCCCTGCACTGTTGCCAAGGCTCAAAGGGCAGAATTTAGTTTAGGCCACTCTGCACCAGGCCTCCATCAGGAGGGAATGGTGGGTTTTTCAGAACAGGGTTTCTCTGTGTAGTCTGGCTGCCTGGGAACTCACCAGGCTAGCCAGGAACTCAGAGATTCACCTATCTCTGCCTCCTGAGTGCCCGGGATTAAAGGTATGTGCCACCATTGCTGGGCCATAAATCAGGTTTATTATTATTATTATTATTTTTAATTTTCGAGACAGGGTTTCTCCATAGCTTTTTATTCCTATCCTGGAACTAGCTCTTGTAGACCAGGCTGGCCTCGAACTCACAGAGATCCGCCTGCCTCTGCCTCCCAAGTGCTGGGATTAAAGGCGTGCGCCACCACTGCCCGGCTCGGTTTTAGTTTTTAACTTAACAAGAAAAAATTCTTGGTCAGGCCGTGATGGTGCAGCCCTTTAATCTCAGCACTAGGGAGGTAGGAGCAGACAGAGCTCTGGGAGTTTGAGGCCAGCCTGCTCTACAAAGCAAGTTCCAGGACTGCCAGTCCTGTTACACATAGAAATCTTGTGTCGAAAAATAACATAAATTTCTTAGGCAGAGTTCTCATAATACTGGTTCTTCAGAAACTCATCATCTCGAGTGCTGGGATTAAAGACGTGCGCCATGTGAGTTCGAGACCAGCCTGGTCTACAGAGCTAGTTCCAGGACAGGCTCCAAAGCCACAGAGAAACCCTGTCTCAAAAAAAAAAAAGAAAGAAAGAAAGAAACTCATCATCTCGACCAGGCTGGCATCAGACACAGCTATCTGCCTGCCTCTGACCCTGGAATGCTGGGATTAAAGGCATGTGTCCGTATTCCTAAAGAGTTGTCACAAATTTTAGTTATTAGGACCTATCCATGCTTTAATAATATCTCGAGCTTTTTCTTTCTTTCTTTTCTTTTTTTTAATGAGTTTCTTAAAATTTATTGCCAGCATGTATGAGGAAAATTGTAATCGTTTCTATTTGGGATCAAATTCTATTCACTCTAATCTTTCTTTTACTGATTTTTAACTTACAATTTTAGTTCAAACGACAGTGAAGTCTGGGCATTTTGCCTCCATGTATGTCTGTGAGAAGGAAGTATTCGCCTAGTACCTGCATAGTCCAGAACAGGGCTGCAAACCCCAGCAACCTGGGGTTACAGGAAATTATTAGCCACCTGACAGGGGTGCTGGAACTCAAAGTCTGGTTATATGCAATACAGTGGCGATCCAAACATTACTTCTAAGCTACCTTTTTGCCCACAAGAGGTTTTTAAATATTTGTGCAATATCATGTTTCACAATTACTTTGAAGGAGATAGTAGTATTCAATGCTTGTTGTATTCTGATAGCCGAAAATATATTCAGTGGTTCTAAATACTTTCTTACAAAAATTCATGACAGCCCAGCGGGGAGGCTTGAAGCAGGAGCCATGAGTTGCAAGGCAGACTGGGTGAATAGTGAGGTCTTCAGAAAAGAAATGCCAACAATAAGAGCTTCAAAGAGTGTGAGGAAAAAATTGTGGGGAGAAGACAGCAGGACCAGTACGTGGATAGCTGATGTTTGGAAGGGGAGAAAAGTGCACGAAGAAAGAAAAGTAGGGTGAGTTCTCCTGGGTGAAGGTGGAACAGTGAAGGGCAAAGGGTAGTGTGAGAGTAAAGGGGTAGGATGCAGGCGATGGGGCAGGGATACGATGGAGGGTCAGTGCTGGGGAATGTGACAAATGACGGGGATGGAGCCTGTTAGTCAGGGTGGGGGGAATAAGGTGTGATCAGGGAAGACTACTGCAAGGAGGGAGTGCAGAGAGCGTGTTGAGGGTTAGGATGTGTTCATTCTTGGACAAAATAGGGAAATGGGCGGTGAGAGTTGATGAGTGCCTGGAATGTGTACAGTGACTTTGGGGTAAGGGGTTAGACATCTGAATGGAGTGAAGACAGGGCAAGGTGTTAAGGGCATGGCTGTGTGAGAATTCAGGGAGGGTAAAACCATGGTGACAGACCACCTAGAGATTTAGCTAGTCCAAAGTACTCCATCCACTTACCTTAGAGACAGAGTCTCCCACTGCAGTGGAGACAGGCCTAAAGTTAGGAGGAAGAAAATGAAATATTCAGAATGCTGGAAATACAGATGTGTGCTCATGTGAAGCCTGTGGGGAAAAATGTCTGCGTCTCTGGAATCGCACCTAGTCTCAAAACAGTATAAACAAGCAAATCCAAAAGAAGGAGGTTTTTACGTCAGGAGTTATTTAAACAGTTGGATGCATTGGAATAAAATCAGTGCTTAGAAATATCAGAATCCTCAGATTAAAAGTCAACACACTTTTCATCAAAAACGCATATAGATGCCTATCCATAAAAAATATGTGTAACAGGTTAATTTAGGGATATATTGGAAAGAAGCCAAAAATCTCTCTTCACAGATGACATAATAGTAAACATAAAGTAACCTGAAACTTCTACTGGAATACTTCGAGACACACCAAATTGAGCCATAAGACAGGTTGTAGAAAACCACATGTAAGGGTTCTTTCTGATCAGGGAATACGTAGAGGAACCTCTAATTACTGAAAAGGAGTGAAATAAATATAAAAGAAGAAACTAAATAACAGTAAGGATGTTTCTAGAAGGCGTGAAAATCAGTGTTTTACCTAGGTATGAAATTATAACACACATTATTTTCTGCATAAATATACATATGTAATTTTAGTGACAGTTTTCCTTCTGTGTGGACAATGCTCCCGGTAAGAGCTAAAGTTGGGGACTGCAGACCCAGAGACCCTGAATTTCCTGTGACCCCTTGTCTGCCAGAGTAAACAACTTATTTTTCTATGCTTGCAGCTGCTCTGAGCATGAGACCCTTATGAGCTCCTGATAGCAGGGGCTTGGTTTATCTGGTGGGCTTGCAGCTGAAAAATCCCGAAAGCTAGGGCGTGGCCATTAGTCAAGGAGAGCCCTATATAAGCTGCCCTGGAACACAAGAAAAGGGACATTCTTGATTCAAGGGAGCATTTCGGGCATTTTGATATCAAGGAGAACCCATGTCTGTCTGTCTGTGTGTGCGTGTGTGTGTGTGTGTGTGTGTGTGTGTGTGTGCGCACGCGTGCTTGTGTGTGATTATGCACATGTGCGTGTGTATTTCAATCTCAGGCCCCTTGAGCAACTCATGAACCTTCCCTCAGTACAGGTAGTACAGGCACAGTACACGTAGCATAGGACTATAATACATGTAGTATGCTACAAGCTAAAGGCAATTGAACAAATACACCAAAACCAACCAGGAGAATCCCTCTTTCTAAGTCCATTTTCAGGGTTGTCCAAGAGACTCTCAAAACGTCATAGGCTCTCGCTACTGTCACTAGTTGCCACTCATAGCTGAAAGGCAAGTCCATATTGCTGAGAGACCATGCACATCAGATGTTGGGTCCAGAGACCTCTGAGCAGAGGCAATCATTCATAGAGACATGCAAGCTTCGAACAGATGGACACACTTCTGTCTTATCTAGGTGAGATACCTATAAACCATGCCAACTATCATGACAGTTTAAGTGACAATAAACATACAGTTTAAGTGCCAATACCTGGAAGTAACCAACAGCTCTCTAACTGGACTTAAGGCTCACTCCACAAGTGGGAAATCACGACTGGTTACTGGAAACCAACTAGCTACCTACTGCACGCTATGAAAGTCATGGATCTTAGAGAAAAACCTACAACCACTATAGTACTTAACCAGACTAATGTCTAATTTCTTTCTAAATGTTTGTTCTCATACCCACAGATAAATATAATCCTCAGTCTTCATTGAGAAAACTTCCATTTACAGCAGATTGAGACTATTACAGGAAACTACAACTAATCAAAATGTGTATTTGTGATTTGTGGATCCAGGTCTAACAGATGCATGAAAAAAATCCCAGACAAAAACAACAACAACAACAACAAAAACCCTTACCTGAATAAGGACAAACAATAGGGATGAGGGGATGAAAACTTTTAAGAGCCAGAGGAAGAGGGAGTTTGCTGTCATACTGTTATCTCTCTGTAATGTCAGAAGGTAAACCTGCAAAGTCTCACTACTCTGACCGCCTAAATGAGATCTAAACAAGGAAGTCACCAATAGACATGCGAACATGGACAATGAACACTCAAGAGGGCTCAGTCCTACCAAAAGAACTACAGACAACTGAAGAATGCTGAGAAATTGTCTTCCCCAGGGAACTTAACATTTTGCATGACAAATTAGTCAGCCTAGAAAACGTATACCCGAAAGTAATATGAAGCAGACTTATCATGTTGTATTTATATGTTAGGAATACACATGAAAGCACTCTCTCACACACATAGATATAAGAAAGAGAGACAGAAGGAGAGAGAGAGAGAGAGAGAGAGAGAGAGAGAGAATATAATAACTATTCATTAAAGAAGAGGACAATATATGAAAGAGCAAAGAGAGACATATGGGGGCTCCTTCTTCTCCTTCTGCTCATTCAGCCAATAGCCGCTGTGATACCAGCTCACTGGGATGTGGTCTCTCTCCCTTTAAAAGAGCTGTCACTTCCCTCTGCTTTCTCTCTGGCTTCCAGCTCTGCTTCCTTTGACTATGCTCCCTTCCTGATTGCACAGAGGGCTGTTTTCTGGGATGGTTATCAGTAATTTTTCCCCCTTAAATAAATAACCATTCTATTAAACATAATTCCAAACTTGTGTGAGATTGTTTGTGACTTATGTTGGTTTTAGGACCCCTCCTTTCCCCTGCTTGCCTGCCTGCTGCCAGCTTGTTCTGGCATGAGCCCTCCTGGAATGCACTCCACAGACTCGCACAGTCTCTGCACACCTGGTTTGCTCTTTTCTCATTCATTTTTAAATCTCCCTTGCAAGCCCAGTGCTTAAGTGGCGCGAACCAGAGCACAATCAGTTGCCAAAAGCTGTATCCCCTCAGGGCGACTCTGTCATGTGAAGGCATATGCAGCTTCTGAGTTGCTCTTCTCAACCCCTGGATTCTGGGTTTCTGATTCCGTGTATGGAATTGATTTAATTACATTTATTTGTTTAGCAACTCTCATTTCCTAGTTTTTAAAAAATACTAAGGTGGCCGGGCGGTGGTGGCGCACGCCTTTAATCCCAGCACTTGGGAGGCAGAGGCAGGCGGATCTCTGTGAGTTCGAGACCAGCCTGGTCTACAAGAGCTAGTTCCAGGACAGGCTCCAAAACCACAGAGAAACCCTGTCTCGAAAAACCAAAAAAAAAAAAAAATACTAAGGTGGACACTGAAACAGATCCCACTTTTTTCACCTTTGCAGTGGTTCCAATCGCGACTTGGCAACAGCATCACCTGCTGGATAATAGGTAATATGGCAGTTTGTGTTTCCAATGCAAATTTTAAGCTTTATTTCCTAATACAATGGATTATAGCATGCAAGGTTTATATGACTATGGGGATACCTTAATTTACTGGTTACTAGGTATCAGTTTTCTTTTCAATATGCTGTCATTAAGGAAGAATATGGCATTACTAAGAATGATACAATCTTTACTAAAAACTCATTCAGGTCAGGAGATTCAGGAATTAAGAGAGACAATGATAAAAAGATTTGAAATGATTGAAGAAATTATTGGTGCTGGTGGACAGAGTAAGAAGATACAAGGACAGGATACAATGCCACCACCAGCTATTAGAATGGCTTACCCACGATTTTAGCAACATACCCTGTAATTTATCCTGACAAAGAGTCAACTTCTAAAGGCTCAAAGGGTATCAAAGAAGCTAGATGGATGCCAATAGGAATGAATGATTTAAAAGAAATTGAGGAAGCTGTTGTTAATTATGGCTTGCACTCTGTATTTGTTAAAGAAATGATAATGATTTGGGCTTCTAATGTCACAAAATTAGATGATTTTTTTCACTTAGTGTCTGCAGTTTTAGATGCTTCACCTTCCTTGATGTTTGGAATTTATTTCAGAGAAGAATCCAAACATATGGAACAATGAGGAAGAGCAAAAGGTGTGGAGGTTTCCCAAGATTAAATTCTTGGTGTAGGACCATATGCTGATCCATATGGTCCAAGCCCTTTATGACGAAGAAATATTGTCAGTATGTTACAAGGCAGCCTTAAATGCTTGGAATAGAATACAAGATCCAGGGAAAAGGGTCAAATCATATACTAGGATTAGGCAGGGGCAGAGAGGACCCTTTATTGACGTTTTGCAAAGATTAATTAAGGCTCTGGACATAGGGGTAACAGACCCAGAAGCTAGACGAATACTACTTGAATCTCAAGCTTTTGAAAATGCAAATATAGATTGCAAAAAGATAATTGGGCCTTTAAGGTCTAGATCAGAACCTATGGATGAATGGATTCAGCATACAATGAATGTTGAGATGTTTAGCTATAATGATGAATCTTGGGTAGGAGAAGCAATTTCCAAACAATGAAAACACATCAAACTGCCAGGTGTTTTAATTGTGATAAATTAGTACATCTGAAAAGGGAATGCAGGCAAAGAATTTCTAGGAAAAATATCTCCTCTGGGAATGACAAAAATAGGAGACCTCGGCCTTCAGGTATATGTAGGAGATGCAGTAAAGGCTGACATTGGTCCAACGAATGCAGGTCAACAACAGACAGACATGGCAACCTGATACCATCGGGAAACCCCTTGAGGGGCCTCTTGCACCAAGCCAAAAGTAGCCCATCTCTGCCCCAGAGAGGAGAGGGAATGGCGTCTGTCTGAGTCACCTTACCTTACTTTCTCTTCCTCCCAGCATTCTGTTCTGTTTACTCCATACACCTATGTTCTAACCTATGAGACCAAGCAGTTTCTTTATTAATTAACCAAGACCTTCCTCCATCATTTCCCCTTTTTCTGTTTAAACAAAAAAAGAAAGGCTTTAACTTTATCATAGCAAAATTACATATAACAAAACAGTTATCAAGTAAAAATTAAAATATTTACATCTATTTTATCTTTATCATTACTAAGGAAAACTATAACTAACTATTCTTCAACTCCATCAAAGACTCCAGAAAGATATTACCTAAGCAAACAAGAAATAAGCAACTTTCAAAACTCTAGAAATG